CACTCTACTCCCTTCCACACACTATCCTGCCTCTCCCCTCTAATCTCACTCCACTCCCCTCCACGCACTCTCCTACTTCTCCCCTCTCATCTCACTCTACTTCCTTCCACGCACTCCCCTACCTCTCATCTCACACTACTCCCCTCCACGCACTCTCCTGCCTCTCCCCGCTCATCTCACTCTACTCCCCTCCACGCACTCTCCTGCCTCTCATCTCACTCTACTCACCTCCACGCACTCTCCTGCCTCTCATCTCACTCCATTCCCCTCCACACACTCTCCTACCTCCCCCCTCCCATCTCACTCCACTCCCCTCCACACACTCTCCTACCGCTCATCTCACTCTACTCCCCTCCACGCACTCCCCTACCTCTCCCCTCTCATCTCACTCCACTCCCCTCCACGTACTCCCCTACTTCTCATCTCACTCCACTCCCCTCCACGTACTCCCCTACTTCTCATCTCACTCCACTCCCCTCCACACACTTTCCTACCTCTCCCCTCTCATCTCACTCCACTCCTCTCCACGCACTCCCCTACCTTTCATCTCACTCCACTCCCCTCCACGCACTCTCCTGCCTCTCATCTCACTCTACTCCCCTCCACACACTCTCCTACCTCTCCCCTCTCATCTCACTCTACTCCCCTCCACGCACTCCCCTACCTTTCATCTCACTCTATTCACCTCCACGCACTCTCCTACCTCTCTTCTCACTCTACTCCCCTCCACACACTCTCCTACCTCTCATCTCACTCCACTCCCTTCCATGCACTCTCCTACCTCTCATCTCACTCTACTCCCCTCCACGCACTTTCCTACCTCTCCCCTCTCATCTCACTCTACTCGCTTCCACGCATTCTCCTACCTCTCCCCTCTAATCTCATTCTACTCCCCTTCACGCATTCTCCTGCCTCTCATCTCACTCTACTCCCCTCCACGCACTCCCCTACCTCTCATCTCACTCCACTCCCCTCCACGCACTCTTCTACCTCTCCCCTCTCATCTTACTCCACTCCCCTCCACACACTCTCCTACCTCTCATCTCACTCCACTCCCCTCCACGCACTCTCCTGCTTCTCCCCTCTCATCTCACTCTACTCCCCTCCGCGCACTCTCCTACCTCTCATCTCACTCCACTCCCCTCCACGCACTCTCCTACCTCTCATCTCACTCCCCTTTACACATTCTCCTGCCTCTCATCTTACTCTACTCCCCTCCACGCACTCCCCGACCTCTCATCTCACTCCACTCCCCTCCACGTACTCTCCTGCCTCTCCCTTCTCATCTCACTCTACTCCCTTCCACACACTATCCTGCCTCTCCCCTCTCATCTCACTCCACTCCCCTCCACGTACTCTCCTGCCTCTCCCTTCTCATCTCACTCTACTCCCTTCCACACACTATCCTGCCTCTCCCCTCTAATCTCACTCCACTCCCCTCCACGCACTCTCCTACTTCTCCCCTCTCATCTCACTCTACTTCCTTCCACGCACTCCCCTACCTCTCATCTCACACTACTCCCCTCCACGCACTCTCCTGCCTCTCCCCGCTCATCTCACTCTACTCCCCTCCACGCACTCTCCTGCCTCTCATCTCACTCTACTCACCTCCACGCACTCTCCTGCCTCTCATCTCACTCCATTCCCCTCCACACACTCTCCTACCTCCCCCCTCCCATCTCACTCCACTCCCCTCCACACACTCTCCTACCGCTCATCTCACTCTACTCCCCTCCACGCACTCCCCTACCTCTCCCCTCTCATCTCACTCCACTCCCCTCCACGTACTCCCCTACTTCTCATCTCACTCCACTCCCCTCCACGTACTCCCCTACTTCTCATCTCACTCCACTCCCCTCCACACACTTTCCTACCTCTCCCCTCTCATCTCACTCCACTCCTCTCCACGCACTCCCCTACCTTTCATCTCACTCCACTCCCCTCCACGCACTCTCCTGCCTCTCATCTCACTCTACTCCCCTCCACACACTCTCCTACCTCTCCCCTCTCATCTCACTCTACTCCCCTCCACGCACTCCCCTACCTTTCATCTCACTCTATTCACCTCCACGCACTCTCCTACCTCTCTTCTCACTCTACTCCCCTCCACACACTCTCCTACCTCTCATCTCACTCCACTCCCTTCCATGCACTCTCCTACCTCTCATCTCACTCTACTCCCCTCCACGCACTTTCCTACCTCTCCCCTCTCATCTCACTCTACTCGCTTCCACGCATTCTCCTACCTCTCCCCTCTCATCTCATTCTACTCCCCTTCACGCATTCTCCTGCCTCTCATTTCACTCCACTCCCCTCCACGCACTCCCCTATCTCTCATCTCACTCTACTCCCCTCCACGTACTCTCCTACATCTCATCTCAAGCTACTCCACTCCACGCACTCTCCTACCTCTCCCCTCTCATCTCACTCTACTTCCCTCCACGCACTCTCCTACCTCTCATCTCACTCTTCTCCCCTCCACACACTCCCCTACCTCTCATCTCACTCCACCCCCTCCATGCACTCTCCTACCGCCCATCTCACTCTACTCTCCTCCACGCACTCTCCTACCGCCCATCTCACTCTACTCTCCTCCACGCACTCTCCTACCTCTCATCTCACTCTACTCCCCTCCACGCACTCTCCTACCGCTCATCTCACTCCACTCCCCTCCACGCACTCCCCTACCTCTCACCTCACTCTACTCCCCTCCCCACACTCTCCTACCTCTCATCTCACTCCCCTCCCCTCCACGTACTCCCCTACCTCTCATCTCACTCCACTCCCCTCCACGCACTCTCCTACCTATCATCTCACTCCACTCCCCTCCACGCACTCTCTTGCCTCTCATCTCACTCCACTCCCCTCCACGCACTCTCCTACCTCTCATCTCACTCCACTCCCCTCCACGCACTCCCCTACCTCTCACCTCTCATCTCACTCTACTCCCCTCCACGCACTCTCCTACCTCTCATCTCACTCCACTCCCCTCCACGCACTCTTCTACCTCTCATCTCACTCCACTCCCCTCCACGCACTCCCCTACCTCTCCCCTCTCATCTCACTCTACTCCCCTCCACGCACTCTCCTACCTCTTATCTCACTCTACTCACCTCCACTCACTCTCCTACCTCTCATCTCACTACACTCCCAGCAAACCGGAATGTTGTTGTCCTTTTCCAGCCACCTGGGAATATTGAAAAGCGAGCACAATTGTTTGACAATTTTGTCCGACGTTTCGCTCGAGATTACATCCAGCATTATCATCATCATTATCAGGTGTTAACGAGAGCTGAGTTTCAATGTGGAGATTCAATCTCCAACGATACGTCGTTTCCTAGGACGACATCACCAAGTAACCTTTAATCTAAAGGGGAAATACCACTGCAATAAAGTTGTGGTGATGCGCAAATCTGAAGTGAGGAGGAAGGCTGGAATACTCCTGAATGCTTGTTACGGAATTGAATCATAACGCACGCTCGTTCGCGGAATATATTTACTGCGCGTATTCTAACGATGTTACGAACATCTTCCGGAAGGAGTTGACACAGGACATCTGTGAAAAAGAGCGTTATCGCGCGTCGGATTGCCTCACTATAAATACATATTCTGATTCTGTTTGTAAAATATTGTAAAAGAAAAACGTGTTGTTTCCTCTTCAACATTCCTCATCCTCCTCTTGCGGTTTACCCGAAAAACCCAAATAATTTGGCATATTTACCCACGTGACGTATTGATTCAGTTTTTCTGCGTCGAGTGGTGGAGGACTATCGTAAAAAAACACGCTTATACACCACTCAAAACGAATTGTGAATCTTTATTCATCCGTTTCATTTCTGAAACGGATGTTGTTTGTAAATGTTCTTTGGGCCTTTGTACTTCCACTCGGCAAGCTTCTCCGACATACGAACGTGCAACTTGCGAACGTCCGCACTTACGAACGAACGAGCATACGTTGTTATTTTCAAACGGTCCGACTGATGGACGTTCGCTCGTAACTTACGAACCGAACCAAGGGGGACTATTTTGTTTGGTAGAGCGATCCTCGGCGAGTACGTAATGAGTCCCAGTGTCCCACGTGACGCTACAACACCCCCCCCCCCAGAAGAGCGAGCCAACGTCAGGACTCAAGGTAAGTGAAAATAAAACGGATTTTCTTCCGTTCATGTTCCTTCATTTTACGTTTTAATTACTATGCAATATTTATCACGGTATTACATGGAAATGTTCATTTTCTTTTTCTCGTTTGAGTTTGACAAACCACAGTCCCGAGATACGGAAAAAAACTACTTACGAACGGGTCTCAGGAAGATATAAATGGTGCCGCGGTGGCGAAATGTTAACTACCTCGCCTGGTATACAGGAGGTCGTAGCTTCGATCCCGACCCTGACACCTGCTGTTAATGCGCTGTGCTACGAACCGCGTGACCTGAATTCGATTCCCGTTCATGGCCAACACCGGTGACGATAATTATCTGAAACCGGTGCTGGGCATCCCCTAGAGGGCCGTCCATAAATGACGTCACGCACCTAGGGGGGGGGAGGGGGTCAGACATTTGTGACGATGTGTGACGATGGGGGGTCTGACTTTTTGTGACGCCGTGTCACGAAAGGGGGGGGGGGGGGTCAAAATCGTCCAAAATCGCGTCACGTCATTCATGGACGACCCCTAGGTCAACTCAGCCTCAGAATGCGAACCTGGTGCGGCATGTAAATATTGCTTGGTGCCGGCAGCCGACCTCCCTCGTGTGCCACAGGTGGTGCAAAGTCTGTTCAGGCTAACACGGGCGGAGGGAACTTTGTGTTCTTGTTGCAGCGATCGGCGACTGAGAACCGCGGTTCAACCCGGAGGCGGCAGATCCGAACGCGAGCTACTCAGCATCTGTGACCGCTGTTCCGACAGCCGCTCTCGCAGTCAGCCGTCCACATTAAAGTGTCAGATCCCTCCCGACCGCTCCACCGCCGTCATCCGAAAACCACCCCAAACACACAAAAAAAAAATGGCGCGAACCTACAACGGAACGAACTCCAGCCAGCCGGCCCTTTTCAGCGTCAATCCGTCCGCGCCGCCGCTGCCGGCCATCGACTACATCCTTTACTTCTCCATCATCCAAAGCATCAACATCGTCATGATGGCGCCGTCGATCGCCTTTTTCGTCTGCATCAACGTCATCATCTTCGGCGAGGCGAGCCTCCGCGAGAACTCCCGCTACGTCCTCTTCTCCAACCTGCTCACGTGTGACACGTGCTTCCTCGCCTCGTCCGTCATCATCACGACGCTCATCTGGCAGCGTCACCGGTACAGCCTCGCCGCCTGCTACACCTACGTCGTCGTGAGCGGCACGCTCAACCACTGCGGCGTCCTCTGCGTCACCCTCATGTCCTTCGAGCGCTACGTCGCCGTGTGCCACCCGCTGCACCACGCCACGTGGTTCAACCGCCGCGCCACCGCCATGTCGCTCGCCGCCATCTGGGCGCTCGCCTCCGTGTGCCAGGTGGCACGCGGCATCGTCGTGCTGGCGGGCGTCGCCGGTGGCAGCGCAGTCGAGCCGCCCCTCAACGTCACGTCGGCGTGCTCGACGTACGTCATCGACGCCGCGATGCCGAACTCCGACGCGCTCGTCGCCCTCCGCGAGCTGCCCAACGCCGTCTTCTTCACGGCGTGCGCCCTCACGCAGACGTTCGCCTACGTCCGGATCGTGGCGGCGGCGAGGAGGGCGGCGGCGACCGCCTCCGACTCCGCGTCGAACGCGCGTCGCGCCACGAACACGGTGGTGCTGCACGCGGTGCAGCTCTTCCTCTACCTGTGCGCGCTCTCCAACACCCTGTTGCTCATGCTCTTCACCCTCGTGACATCCGACGTGCGCGTCATCGCCGTCCTCAGGCTCAGCGCCTACCTGGTCATCTTCTTCGGCTCGAGGTTCGTGGCGCCGCTTGTCTACGGCCTGCGGGACAAGGAGCTGCGGCGGCACTTCAGGAAGAGGGTCGCGTGCCGCTACTTTGCCGCGTCCAGCGGCAAAGTGGACGTGGCTTCGAACTGAGGGCAGTTGGCGCAAGGGAAATGGAACAGGGGGCGGTGTTGTTCTCAGCGTTGCGTTTGTCGCTGCTGTGTGCGCAGAGGTGTGTCCACGGTTGACGTACGCCGGACGCGGCGAACATCTTCCGTTACTTTTAGTCGCGCGGTGGTATGGTATGGGATGTACGTGCGGTGGCATGGTGTGGTATGCTATGTAGATACGTGCAGTGGTATGGTATGGGACGTACGTGCGGTGGTTTGGTATCGTACGCACGTACGTGCTGTGGTATGGTGTGGTATGGTACGTACAACTTATTTCGCGCACCGTAAATAACCGACTGTGCTCTCCCTGGAACCTGGTTTCGCTTCAAGTCGTTTCACGTAAAGTCGCACTTTAATCACCACGTTATCACCGAGGAGTGAGTGTGGTCAACGTCTTCTAGCCACCGTGGCGCCCCCATGTGTATGTATTTGTACGTATGTTGAACGTCTTTCTCACCATACGTAGCCAACCGTGCTTAACGGAGCTGCCGTGGGAAGGACAACAAACTAAACACAACAACAAACAGTTCTAAATGATGACTTTGTCAATCTAGATGATGATGATTTAAAAGTGGCGTAGCTCCCAGTGGCTTCCTAATATCGGAAGGAAGAGCGTTCCAGACGGCCACAGAAGCGGCATCTGGAAGCGCCGCGCGATGCGGTGACCATCTTTGTTCGATGGCCAGCCAAAAGTGTAGTGTATAACGTAGTGTAGTGTATAGCAGTGTATAGTGTAGTGTATAGTGTAGTGTTCAGTGTAGTGTATGGCAGTGTATAGTGTAGTGTATAGTGTAGTGTATAGTGTAGTGTATAGCAGTGTATAGCGTAGTGTATAGTGTAGTGTATAGTGTAGTGTATAGCAGTGTATAGTGCAGTGTATAGTGTATTGTATAGTGTAGTGTATAGTGTAGTGTATAGTAGTGTAGTGTATAGAGCAGGAGCGTGCGGTCAGGGGAGGCAGGGGAGGCACAGCCTCACCTATCAAACTCCAATGAAAATAGCTGTTACGAAAAGTAAAAAAAAGAATAATCAAATAACATAAATATTCCGATTTTTCTACTGATCTGTGTTATAAATGTCATTTCTGTAAGATTCCAATAATTGTTATAGTCGAAACCGCCAAATTTGCGGAGCTCCGCTGCAAATACAGGAAGAGACGAGAGGTGAGGCAGCGACGAGCTCAGCCTCCCCTCTCATTGCGCAACCCCTCAGTAACTGGATGGAGCGCGGGCAATAAGCGCGTGCCTGTTACTATCTCAGCGTGTCACCAATGTGATGTTTGTAGACCCCTTCATTTCATGTCCTCGCCTTCCATACTCCAGGTAACTTAATTCACGTATGTGTATAAAGATATTAGGCTCGCTGGTCTCGTCATGAAACTGCAATGAAAAAGCACCAGGGGAGGCAGCTATCACATCTGCCTCACTGAGGGGGACGTGTCTAACACGCCCCCCTCAGCGAGACCACGCCCCCCTCCGTGAGGCCACGCCCCCCTCAGTGTGTGAATCTGGCTCTGACACGAGCCATTGCCTCACCAGCCATTGACCTCGCTTCTGAAAAAAAGCTACATAGCTCAATGGGGGCCTTACTTGGTAAAATAAAACAAAAGTGGTATCGCACAGTAGTATAGTATCGACTTCAGAGAGCTCATGTGGGACCTTGGGCCTCGTGAAACGACGCCGGTGGTCGTGTTTGGGGCCTGTTGGTCAGAGGGGATCCTTCCTCCCCCCATCCACGATTTGCAGCTAAGTACCAAAAAACGATCGGTGATGTTTGCTCTATATCTAGCAGCCCATATCTCTAAACCTCTCTAAATATCTCTAAACCTAGAAATATGTACCTCTCTCTCTTTCTATAAATCAGCTCAAGCCTCCAGTAAACCACGTGACCTCTGTGTGGCCACTCCCACCCTGAACCCCTCCCCTCTCCCCGCCCACTCTGAAAACAGACTTTGCTCCTCCTCTGCGCAGCTCGCTTCTGTTCGCCCCCTTCTTTCTCTGTCCTCCCTTCCCTCTCATCCTCATCAGCATCATCATCATCACCCTCTCATCATCATCACCATCCCTGACATCTTCTCCCACTCCTGCTCTCTCCCGGCTTCTTACCTTGAGCCATGCCCTCCTTCATTAGACCTCCTTTGCCAGTACCAAAATATAATAAGAGGGTTTTTACCATTTTTTTCTGGCAACAAAACTAAAACCTTTTTACGAGGATTCACGTCTGCATTAACCACAATACTTGCAGTCAAAATGCAAAAAAAAAACACTCTGATAATATATTGGCATTGTCCTTGAAACTGATTGGTCCACACCAAGGGACGGCTTTCTTTTGAGCCTCGACCCAATTGGTGCTCGACCAGAGGACGCCAAAAGGCGTACACAGCTCAAAGACAATGTACTATCAAAGTAATGAGGGTTCGGGGTGAGCATCTACATCATCAGACCTCTTTTGCCAGTACCAAAATATAATAATAGGGTTTGTACCTTATTATGCCCTCCTCTTTATCCGTCTTGCGGAATTCCGTCCCGGCATCCCTTCACTGTCACGGGCTCCCCTTAAACCATGGTCTATGTATGCTGATGTATGTTGAACTTATTTTGCACCGCACGTAGCAAACCACGCTAATTGGAGGTGGTGTGTGGAATGACAACAGTTTTAAAGAAATGACTGTTTCGGTCTAGATGATTTAAAAGTGCATAGCTCCAGTGGCTTCCTCATTATCGGACGGAAGAGCGTTCCAGACGGCCGCCGAAGTGCATCTGAAAGAGCCGCACGGTGTGGTGACCGTCTTTGTTTGGTGGCCAGCCAAATGCCGCTGCGAGAATGACCAAAGTTCACGTGATGGTTTATGTGTGTATTTTGAGCTTCTTTCGTACCGCACGCAGTCAATCACGCGAATCGGAGGTGGCGGGGGAAGGACAATGAACTAAACACAAAAGCAATTGTGGAGAAATTCGCTTTCAACTTAGATGATGATTTAAAAGTGCACACCTCTATTGGTTTCCTAATTATCAGAAGGAAGAAAGTTCCAGACGGCCGCCGAAGCGCATCTGAAAGCGCGCGGTGCGGTGACCGGGAATAACGTTTTACGCTGTTTTATGTACGAAGAGTTACATTCGTGGTCGCTTTTGACATTTGAGTTCGTCCGGCAAATGTTAACGTTGTCAAACGCCTTTTAAATAAAATACCACCGGGAATGCGTCAGATCTTGTCGTATCTCACACAAGCTAAAGCAGGGTTTTTTTTGGAAAGCCTGGATAGTAGGAGTTGGAATGGTGGAAACCACACCAGCGGTTTAAACACGTAGCAGCAGTAGCAGGCTTTCACAACCAATGTTATCCAGAGGTTATTTTCTTGGGTTCGATCGCGTAGATAACACGTTCCTTCGGAGTGGGCAGGTAGGAACTTGGTTGGACAGCGCATTCGTGCACGACAGACATACAAATAATCCCTGGTGGGCAGCAGTGTGGAACCTGTTGTTCCTACCTGTGTAAAAGATAACTTGACTTGAGGTAGCCAGGCAGCAAGGCAGATAGCCAGCCCCCTTAACTATCGGCCCCTCCTCCTTGCTTAGGCCCCTCCCCTTACCCCCCTCCCTTAGGCCCCTCCCCCCTTAGGCCCCTCCCCTGACCACCATATCCTTAGGCCCCTTCCCTGACCCCCCCTCTCTCCCCCTCAGGCCCCTCTCCTGACTCCGCCCTTCCTTAGGCCCCTCCCCTCTCCGTACCCGGCAGTAGGTCTCCACCAATCAAAGAGCTGTTTATATTATATATTTATTTATGCACGACAGACAGTCAGACAGACAAATAATCCCTGGTGGGCAGCAGTGTGGAACGTTGTTCCTACCTGTATAAATGTGCGTCGTTAAACCCGCCGCCGCCACCACCACCACCCGATAACGGCCAATTAGCGAGGGTTTGTCGAGTAAACAAAACGTCGCCAATTAAGTTACTAGTTCGTCGCGCTCGAATTGTCAACGCTGTGGGTTTACTCTCCCAACACACCGGTGTGCTGTACTCGTAACGAATTGGCCACGTTTTGTTTACGGGGCACAAACCCTTACGAATTGTCAATGTCGGATGGTGGCGGGTTTCACGACACATTTACAAACTAGATTCGAAGCTTTCGTGACTGTAAATGCGTCACTCTTTGGTTCTTTCGGTAAAGTCACGTAGAAAATAAAATAAAATAATTAAAGAATATGACGTTTCGGTTGCAACACAAGCAACCATCATCAGGTAAGAATGAATGATAAAACACAGACACGGGAACATTATAGGCAGACACACATGCATAGAGAGACACACACAAAGACACACAGAGCGAGACACACCTTAGTGTGTCTTTGTGTGTGTCTCTCTCTGCATGCGTGTCTACCTATGCTGTTCCCGTGTCTGTGTTTTATCATTCATTCTTACCTGATGATGGTTGCTTGTGTTGCGAACGAAACGTCGTATTCTATTATTATTTTATTTTCTACGTGACTTTACCGAAAGAACCAAAGAGTGACACATTTACGTGATCAAACTCAAAAACATCTATTATGGATGATATTGGTCGCGAAAAGTCCTCCTACTACGACTACTACTACGTTTTAAACCAGGGGTGGGGAACGTCTGGCCCGCGAAATCATTTGGTCTGGCCCTGCCAAGGCAACCGCAGGCGGGACTCGAAATTCAATAAATCTAGGAGCAAACCTGGAAAAGCAGTTGCGAGTAGCAACAACATCATCAGTACCAGCTAACATCACACGCCTCGCCAAAGAGAAGCTGTTCCAGCCCATCACATTAGGGGCGAGTTAATGAAATGTTTGACCAAATATAACGGGCTAATTTTTAAGTTGATAATTTTGTATGGCCCGCGAATGATGTTATAAATATCCAAATGGCCCTTGGCAGAATAAGGGTTCCCCCACCTCTGTGTTAAACGAACAACGAAACTGGTCGTTACGAATGTCATGGTTATGCACGAGGTGACCAGCAGATGGCGGTGGAGGAATGCCATGGACAGTCAGGTCTCAGAGTACGCGTTGGGGGTTAGGTTCCGTGTAACCCCGACGCAAATTCGTGTAAGTTGGGGTTCGCCTATTCGAGTGTAGATATACATTGTATACACACTACTATATATACACTACTATATTACTACTATCAGTGGCGGGCCGTGTATTTTACACCTAGGCCTTCGGTGCTATCCTCCTGCAATTAAACCGCCTTCGAATAACCTCATCATTGACACTCGGGCTATAGGCTATTGTTATTCGACATAATCACCCAATATTCACAGTAACAGTAATCTTTATCGAGTGGAGTAAAGTGATTTAACACGAGGCTCAACACCTATGAGAGTTACAATACACTGAATTGCAGAGACATGAATACATGGTGACTGAAACCATCAAGGATGTACCACTATTACGTAGTATGACAGGATGCTGCAACACAAATAGACATCGCATAGCCCAATTCAATGTCATTACCAAAGAAACAGGAACAAACTCACACCAACCAGTCACATTTACTCATACGACCACCAAGCAAACATAAAGGTCGTAAAACACAAATAACACAATCAGGATTCAACAGGCTTCACCACAAAATTTTTTTAAAGCACTACATCTAAAAATCGAAACGTTACGAAAGAAAGTTTAAATAAACTTTAAATGATGCTACGTCACGTGCTAGCTAGTTTTACTTTAGGTAGCTAACTGGTCCTTCACACGAAACATGCTGCTAACGTAGGCGGCTAGGCCAGCTAGAAGGCTCTGGCGTGTCAAAGAATACGCCCAACATGGCAAACTCGAAATCTGATTGGTGAAAGAAGATGACAGTCAACAACATCGTCCCCTTGATTTAAAGCTTTCGTGACTGCAAGGATTCATACTCTTAGGTTTTAGGTTTTTTTCGTGACTTTACCGGAAATAAGTATAACCCGTAAAAACAAAGTTTTTCACTCTAAATCCTTTATATGCGTGGCGGCTAGAGTCCTCTCGTCCTCTGGCTTGAGATGGTTGCCACCTATGGGTCAGATGATTGTCTGCAGTATTAAAGAATTGGTAATTAAATATTTAATTTGTTTTCCCTAAACAGTGTAAAATTTTGGAAAACTATTTTCACGAACATTAATTGTCTCGCACAACGAGTCTGTGTGCAAAATGTCAGCTCGATTGGATCACGGGAAGTGGGTTAAAAAAACGACCGAAAGGTTTGCACGGTCGTAAGCAAGCAAGCACGCAAGCAAGCGAACTTAATATAAAGGATTTAAAAACCTAAGAGTACAACATCGTTCCCCTTTGATACAACAGCAGAGGGAGATTCACTCGACATTCTGAAGGCCTCAGGGTCGATTTTTCACCCGGAGAGGCCGAGACAGCACAGGTGGACATCTGATTAGATAAAAGCTCTAATTTATGAGCTGCACTGGAAGCAGCGCAACTGAGAGAGAGAGTAGCAATGAAATGACGTTAATAGACTGATGGGAACTAACTTTGTAAAATACATATAGCATTAATACAAAATATATATTAAATTGTAAAAATGTAATTTTCTGATTCTGACAATCTCTAGGCCAGCAGAGAAGGCCTTGTTGGTCCTGACGGCCCGCCTCTGAGTACTATATACTACGATATTATTACTATACACTATTCATATATATTCTTAGGTTTTTTCGGTAAAGTCACGTAGGTAAAAATTTAAAAGTAATAAAAGTAAAATAAAATAAAAATCACAACGTTTCGATTGCAACACAAGCAATCATCATCAGGTATAAATGAAATAGCAACAAAAAATTCTAACCAGAAAAACTATAGACAGACATATAAGCAGACAGATATCACCAAGATACATAGAGATATCTGTCTGCTCGACTCTTCGCTTCCCGTCCCCCTTGCGTGCAACGAAAGTACGAGTCACAAAGTGCGAGCATGAATCGGGTTGGGGGGGGGATCACGTATGAGCGGGTCCACGTACTCTGAGACCTTTCTGTAACTGTCATGGTTCCCATTACATTTTAAATTCGGTTTGGCGCTCCAAAGCTTCATTGGGAGGGCTGACATCGCTTTGTGGAATGCCAAATTGCACACACACGGTACACACAGACACACACGCACAGTACACACAGACACACACAGTACACACACTACACACACTACACAGTATACACACAGTACACTCATAGTACACACGCAGCACACACACGATGTTCTATATCTCTATGTATGTCTGTGCATATGTATATCTGTATCTCTATGTGTACGTTTCTCTATGTTTCTGTGTTCGTCTTCGTATCTCCATGCGTATGTATCTCTATGTGTACGTGCCTCTGTATGTTTCTGTGGGTGTGTGTATGTGTGTATGTATCTCGTGTGTATGATCTCTTTATGTTTATCTTCCCGTTCCCCGCTCTTTCCGTTCCCCACGCTTTCCGTTAATTCCCCACGATTTCTGTTCGTTCCCCGCGCTTTCCGTTCCCGCGCTTTCTGTTAGTTCCCCACGCTTTACGTTCATTCCCTGCATTTTCTGTTAGTTCCCCACGCTTTCCGTTAATTCCCCACGCTTTCCGTTCCCCACGCTTTCCGTTCGTTCCCCACGCTTTACGTTCATTCCCCGCATTTTCTGTTAGTTCCCCACGCTTTCTGTTAATTCCCCGCGCTTTTCGTTCCCCGTGCTTTCCGTTCGTTCCCCACGCTTTACGTTCATTCCCCGCATTTTCTGTTAGTTCCCCACGCTTTCCGTTAATTCCCCGCGCTTTCCGTTCCCCGCGCTTTCCGTTTGTTCCCCGCCTTTTCTGTTCCCTGCGCTTTCTGTTCGTTCCCCGCGCTTTCCGTTCATTCCCCACACTTTTCGTTCCGCGTGCTTTCCGTTCGTTCCGCGCTTTCCGTTGGTTCCCCGCGCTTTCTGTCCCGTTAGCTCCGGTGGCGTCTGGGTCTCATGGCTATTCCTCCACTTCCTGAGCTCTCGTCGAATCGCCGAGAGTTTGTCGTCGTTCGAGCACGCCCACGGCCCTCGGTGCCGACTCCTTTTGGACACTCGGTGGTCAGACGTGGCAGCTCGCCGTAGCTGCCGCTCGGCGCTCCGCTTTGGCCTCCTCCATTGCTCCTTGCTTGGGAGGAGCGTGGCTTTGGCGTGGATTGAGTTGAGTTGAGGGGTGACTTGAGTTGAGTTGGCGGCGGAGTTGTTGAGCAGTCGTTGGGTTGAGTTTGGTTGGCGTTGAATGGAGTTGAGTTGCTGGGTTGGGTTGAGTTGGGCTGAAGTTGAGTGGATTAAGTTTGGGTTGAGTTTGGCTGGCGTTGAGTTGAGTTGATTGGAGTTGAGTTCGGGTTGAGATCTGTTGGCTTGAGTTGAGTGGAGTTAGGTTTGGTTGAGCTTGGTTTGGGTTGAGCTGGGTTGGGTTGAGTTGAATGGAGTTAAGTAGGGTTGGATAGAACGTAATTGGGTTGGGTTGAGTTGAGCTATGTTTGGTTAAGTTTGTGTTACACACTCGAAATGAAGGACGTGGGCAGGTGCTCCAAATCGAGGGCAAGCACATTCATTTATTGTGGTTAATATTAATCTTGTGAAGAACAGCACCGTCACTCTGTAAAATGCAACAACACGTGTGTTACAACCAGCCTTGCTCCCGAGCCGCCATTAACCATGTTTACACGTACGGTTATTCATTAACCCGTTCTCTTAAACCCAATTCTACTGCTGATAAACCATCCTTGTCTTTGACAATCACATTTGCACATCACGATTCGACTATTACTTTAATCCTAAGCTGTATGTCTATCTATACCATCCACTTATATCGGTATATTACACCCATTATATGTACTGTACGTGTACAGTATACGTACTGTATCGCACCATTGTACAGCTTACTACTTTACATGTGTTCTATTCTCAATAGCATTGCAAGTAGTCATACTCTGGGTACATGGGCATGGTTATAGACTAAACAGTATTAGAGTTAGAGAATTACAATGACAGTAACTAATTACAGTGCGTCATCCCTTTACAATGCACAGTGCTAAAACGCCTCTAATTGCATATATCACAAACGAACAATTCAAAGCCAAGCTTAAAGTCTAGAACAAGTCTAGAACATTTATATAGCGATCAAAACAACCTTTGGGTCCTTTACCTGTCAAATGCAACAACACGTGTGTTACAACCAGCATTGCGCCCGAGTCGCCATTAACCATGTGACTGGTATATCCGCGCGGTCATTCAATAACCCTGCCAGCCACCTACAGGCCCGACTCGGTCATTACATGCTGCTGTACACACATGCTGCTGTACACACATGCTGCTGTACACACATGCTGCTGTACACACATGCTGCTGTACACACATGCTGCTGTACACACATGCTGCTGTACACACATGCATTGATGCACTGCACAGCACATCAGGACTTTCACAGAACCACACTTTACTCCCTTGCTGTACAAGGACATACTTAAAAGAGTGATCCATTCCTAATGTGCCACATTTGGTTTTAGTTAAGTTGGGTTGAATGGGGTTGGGTTGGATTGAGGCGAATGGAGTTGACTAGAACGAAGTGAATAGAGTTGAATATAGTTGAGGTGGGTTGAGTTGAATGAAGTTTTGTTTAGTTGTTTGAGTGCGCTTTGGTTGAGTTGAGTGGAGTTGAGCCGAGTGGAGTTTCCTTGGCACTTATTTCACTTGGCGAGTTGGGAGATTACACGGATGAGAGCTCCGTTCTCATCCTGCAGCCTCCTCATATCGTTCTTGAGGTCCACCAGATCCTTAAGTTCCTCCTCCATCTCTGCGACCTTCCTCTGCAGCGCTCTCTTCTCCCTCTTCTCCGTCGCCAGCTGCCTCTCGTGGTCAGCCTTGAGGTCTGAGAGACTCTTCAGCCTCAGCTCCATCTTCAAAAACTTCATATCGAGAGCCGTCTTCTCGCTCTTGGCCTCCAGAAGCTTCGGTCGGCCCAGCGTCTGTGCCAAGACAAAAAACAAAGATCCACCGTATAGCAGAGGTCGCAAACGGGTTTTGATTCCTTACCCGTACCCGGCCGCACCAGGGTCGCAAACGGGTACCCGTACCTGGCCGGGTACGGGTAGCCGGGTATCGGGTAGGGTACGACTATCGGGTACCTGGTTGCGACCTCTGCCGTATAGCCTTAACAGACTGTTGGGGCAAGTGCTGTTAGTGGGTAGCAGCACCGATGAAGGCCCGGAACGGTACACGAGGGGCGTGAGTGACCAGTACCACGCCCGGCCGCCTGTATCTCTCCAGTGGCGATGTTTATAGATCATACCAGGTACTCATTTGAGGCTGTGTCGACCTAGGGGAGCCCCAGGACCAGGTCAGATAATCATCACTGGTGTTAGCCGTGAATGGGAATCTAACTCGGGTTGCCAAGACGGTTCAAAAAACATATCGCGTGCAGATGACAATGATGATGATGTTTTTTTGTTCGTTTCCCAATGCAAAGGCGTCTTGCGGTGCTACTTTGATCATCTTTTCCCCGCCCCGGGCGTCTTTTAAGTGTCTTCTCATCTTTCTCGGTCACGTACAATGGGAAATCTCGCCGTCTGCACGAGTCGAATTGTGCCCAGCCAGAATCAGAATATTTATTTATACTGGCGGAGGATGGGGCTAATAGGGGTATCACAGAAACGCTGGCCACCCCCATCCGTTAAGTGGCTCATGGCTGTGGCGCTTCAGCATGTGAACAGCATTCACGTGTAATGACCGAAAATGACCACCAAGCCAATGTGCGGCCTAACGGCTAATTAAAAATAAGTAATATTTAAAAATACTTTTTTTAAAACACGCTTTAATGAAATGTACCGTACTCGTAATGGCAAAATTCACGACTCCAGGAAGTGGCCCAAAGCTTGCCATAAGGGACTGTGATGATTTACAGCCAACGTCAGTTGAGCATGGACAATTAGACCCAAGCCGAAACATAACATATAAAAAGATGGTTTAAAAATATTTGTTTTATTATTAATGATAGAATATAGTATTGTCATCAGTATGACATAAGTATACGAAGTTTGCAGTCGATACCACATTGGGAAGTGGGTTAAAATTGAGTTACAAGATTTGAGGATACGACAACAACAGACAGAGTGAGTTAATAGAAAGCGTATAAAGCGTGTAAAAAGATTGTTTACAAATATATTTTTTATGATAGAATATAGTATTGTCATCAGTATGACATAAGTATACGAAGTTTGCAGTCGATACCATATTGGGAAGTGGGTTAAAATTGAGTTACAAGATTTGAGGATACGACAACAACAACAACAGACAGAGTGAGTTAAATAAAAGCACGTAATAAACCAAGTTCTCCGACTGGAGAAAAGAGGCGTCCACAGGGATTGGTCAGGAGGCGGGGCTTTTGAAGTGATTGGAGGGAAAATCTTTGAAGGAGAATAGGAGGGAAACAAGATGGAACCCAGAGGCGATGGTTTGGATCAGTTGGAGGGGAAGGACAGGGATTGGCTGAGGGAAATAGGGTGAGGGAACATTCCAGACAGTGGGGCTGAGGGATATATAAGAGGAGAGAGCACGAGGAGTCGGGAGTTTCAGAGGAAGGTACAAGCTGGAAGACTGTCATGAAGCCTAGCGTCCCTTTTTGTGTAATCCATAGCAGAGGTCGCAAACGGGTTTTGATTCCTTACCCGTACCCGGCCCCTACTCGTACCCGGCCGGGTACGGGTAGAGTACGGGTATCGGGTACCTGATTGCGACCTCTGGGATGAAGCCATGTTGCAGGCGCGGGTGGGTTGATACTAGGAACTTGAATTGTGAGAAGAGACAAGACGTTGGGAAATGAGTGACAAACAGTTACTCACCAGTGATTCACGGCCTACCCGTGCCCGTACCCGGCCGCACCAGGGTCGCAAACGGGTACCCGTACCCTACCCGATACCCGGCTACCCGTACTCGGCCGGGTATCGGATAGGGTACGGGTACCCGATTGCGACCTCTGGGATGAAGCCATGTTGCAGGCGCGGGTGGGTTGATTCTAGGAACTTGAATTGTGAGAAGAGACAAGACGTTGGGAAATGAGTGACAAACGGTTACTGACCAGTGACTCACGGCCTACCCGTACCCGTACCCGGCCGCACCAGGGTCGCAAACGGGTACCCGTACCCGTACCCGATACCCGGCTACCCGGGTACGGGTAGTCGGGTATCGGGTAGAGTACGGGTATCGGGTACCCGGTTGCGACCTCTGATCCATAGTAGGGTTCCTTACGGTATAACTAATAAAAGTGGCTTTGAACTGCTTATGGTATACAAGGTACCGTGCTTTCATGGATTGAGTCCTTCATTACAGCTCGGACACAAAGTGTCAGCAGCTTTGCCGGTAATCTGCCACGCAAGTCATCGGTGACGTGCGGTGCGCCACAAGGAAGTGTACCTGGCCTAGTGCTTCTTCCTACTTTGCACCACTGATGTCGTCGGCATCGACAAAGTGTGACACAACAGCCTAAGTGTCAAACTCCGCTTCAAGGGGTATTTGGACACATTCTCACATGGTTGCAGAGCTACCTCTACAACAAATCCATCAAAGTTTGTATTGTCCGGCCAGGCCTCACAGAACCTTCCCCCATCAATGCCTCTGTATCACAAGGATCAATGCCTTTGTATACAGATCAATGCCTCTGTATCACAATTAGAAGATAAGTGGACCGATGATTATCGGTCCACTTTTCTTCTCCACCTTCATTGACGACCTGGTCGACGCTGATGTGTCAACCCGCTATGCTCCAATAAGATCACCTGCAGAAAGCAACGCACACGCGCGTGCACAACAACAACCGCCATTCGCCACTAAGTGGCGGTGACGTCACCACGACGCTTTGTGCCAGGCCACACAAACAGATACACACACACGGGAGCACGTACACACACAAAGACACACCACACACAAAAGACAAAGATGTAACCTGTAAGAGACTATAGGAGCAAGTGCGGTTAGCGAGTAGCACCTATGAAGGCCGGTACGGCACACGAGGGGGTGGGTGTCCAACACCACGCCCGGCCGCCTTTGTGTCCCCAGTGGTAATGTTTACACACCGCACCAGGTACTGGTGTTGGCCAGGAGCAAGAATCGAACTCAGGTGGCCGCTTTCGTAGCGCAACATAGCGCTAACCGCTACACTACCGCTGCCCACACACGCACGCAAACAATACACTATACACTACTATACACTACAATACACTATACACTACTTTATGTAATACACTACTATACACTACGATACACTATACACTACTATACATTACAATGCACTATACACTACTATACATTACAATACACTATACGCTACTATAAGTATGGGTGTTCGTAAGTACGGATAACCGTAAGTCGGGTGCTGTTCGTAAGTCGATGAACTATCTGCATTGTGACTCGAACTGAGCGTCCAGTGAACTCGGTTGAAAGAGACAATGGTGAATGTGTTCGTTCGGCGCAGAGGGCTCAACTCACCGGCGCGCCTCCTCTCTGCATCTTCACGCGAACGATTTCGTGCCCGGCGTGCTCAGGCATGCACTCGACGCAGATCGGCGCTCCGTCCAATCTACAATAGAGATCTAAGCTCTTGCCGTGCCACTCGCATGGCATCTCGCCATCTTCCCGAGGCCCAATGGTCGCCTTCTTGAGACCCTCCACCAGGCTGGTGATGAGCACATTTTTGCTGAGCTCTGGCTTCCGAAAGAAAACCGCTCTGCACTCGGGGCAGCTGAACCCAATCAATTCTCCCTGCGTGGCCCAGTGATTCTCTATGCACGTCTTGCAGAAGGTGTGGCCGCAGGTGAGACCCACGGGTGAATTGAACAGATCGAGACAGATTGAGCAGCAAAACTTGTCGTCGTCTCTTGAAGCGGCCATGACTTCTGGTCAAAACTCGCGCATGCATGCAAAGTAAAATACAACCAGTTGGACGGGGAATTCACGGAATGTAAACGTGACCTTCGGCAAGGATGACAAAACACTCCGCAAATAGAAACTGTCATCTCAAGTCAGACTCACTGCAAAGCTAAGCGATTGAGGAAGAGATACATACATACTAAATTCAGCACACACACACTGTGACGGTGTTCCGGTATGTGTATCGGTATGTGCCCACATGGAACATGCATATACGTACACAAGAAGGCCGGCACGGCACACGAGGGGGTGGGTGGCCAAGACCACTGCCTGACCGCCTTCGTCTCCGCAAGCGGTGATGTTTACACGCCACACCATGTACTCATTTGAGGCTGAGTCTCCCTAAGGGAGGCCCAGAACCGGTTCACATAATCGTCACTGGGTGTTGATGGCCGTGAGCGGGAATCAAACTGGGATCGCCGGATTCGTAGCGCAGCGCGTGAACCACTGCACTACCGCTCCCCATATATGCGTAGTTACAGGGTGCCATCTGTTTACCATGGGGGCTGACTACGGGTATGGGTGAGTCATAAAATGGCACATATATCGGCAACCATAAGGGGGGCGTAACTGGGCCAAGGGTCAAGGCGGGGATCAATCGGGAAGCTTCTGGAACCAGTGAGAAGGTTCTATAAGTTGGGCGTGGCCAGGGGCGGGGCTTGGCCACGCTGGGAGGATATAAAGAAGAGGCAAACGGGGGTTCGGGGCTGTCGTGGGGGTTCGGGGCTGTCGTGGGGGTTCGGGGCTGTCGTGGGGGTTCGGGGCTGTCGTGGGGGTTCGGGGCTGTCGTGGGGGTTCGGGGCTGTCGTGGGGGTTCGGGGCTGTCGTGGGGGTTCGGGGCTGTCGTGGGGGTTCGGGGCTGTCGTGGGGGTTCGGGGCTATCGTGGGGGTTCGGGTCCTGTCTGCCGTCACTGTCATCGCCGTCATTGCTGCCATCTCTTCGTCGTCGTCGGATAGCCGGCCAACTATACAGTCATCATCGTCGTCGCTATATAGTCAGCCAGCTATATAGTTGTACGTCACCGATGTCGCAGTATGGGTGGCTAAGCGATACGTAACCCAGCGCTTATTAAATCCTTTATATTAAGTTCGCTTGCTTGCTTGCGTGCTTGCTTGCTTGCGTGCTTGCTTGCTTGCTTACGACCGTGCAAATCTTTCGGTCGTTTTTTAACCCACTTCCCGTGATCCAATCGAGCTGACATTTTGCACACAGACTCGTTGTGCGAGACAACTAATGTTCGTGAAAAAATATTTCAAAAATTTTACACTGTTTAGGGAAAACAAATTAAATATTTAATTACCAATTGCTTAATACTGGCAGACAATCATCTGACCCATAGGTGGCAGCCATCTCAAGCCAGAGGACGAGAGGACTCTAGCAGCCACGCATATAAAGGATTTATAGTGAAAAACTTTGTTTTTACGGGTTATACTTATTTTACTCTCTGACCCTGTCCTTAATGTATTGAGAAATAAACAAGAAACCCTCTACAAGTCGTGTCTCTGAAGTCGTCTCATTACATATGTACATGGGCCCATGCCAATGAACACACAGAATACTTATCAAATATTTAGTTTACAACGTAATTGCAGCCCGGACGTCCTTTGGACCGTTGTCGTCCGTGCCCCATCCCGTCCGTCCCTCCAGCCACCCAACCAGCCAGCAAAAACTTGCTTTTAATAACATAAAATATGAATTTCGATTTAAAGCTTTCGTGACTGCAGGGATTCATCTTCTTGGTTCTTTCGGTAAAGTCACGTAGAAGGGAAATAATAAAATAATAAAAATAAAACATAATAAAATACAATTCTCACGACGTTTCGGCCACAACGCAAGCAGCCGTCCTCAGGCTTATTATGTTTAATTATTTCCCTTCTACGTGACTTTACCGAAAGAACCAAGAAGATAAATAAAATATGAAGTTAACTCTTTAGTAAAAAAAACCCAAAGGTTTCAAACCAACCTCTTCGCATATCCTTTATGTCATTGGCCCCCATTTATACCGACTCTCTTAAAATCACGAAAGTTTAAAATGTGTGAATGTAATTTTACAACATAGCAAAAAATACAACATATTTGTCATCATTAAGTTCCTGTTTTTGTTTTTAAACAATCTGGAATCGTGGGAGGGGTGGGGCTGGGTGGGGAATGGCTGGTCACCCCGTGGTGCCCTTATAAAACTCAACGTTTAACCTACTCACGCCGGCTTGTGCCCGCCCTCACAGTCGGCCGTATTTGCGGAATACACCACGCCGCCGTTGACCCTGCAGGCCATTGACCGAGCAACCCAACGTTCCTACCAGCTCCCTCCGCAGGAATGTGTTTACCATTGGCTCGTCCTGCAGCCTGATTGGATGTCACCTGTACCCTGAGTGGCAGCCCCAACAGTCTGGAACGCCATCCCTCTGCACATTCGCAGCATCGCCTCAATCGCCTCCTTCAACGGAGACTTAAAAACTCACCTCTATAACCACGCTTTCGAGCGACCCTGAGCTTGGCTTCCGCGCCGTCCGCAAATTTATAATTTTTACCATTGCCACGTCCTGTAGCCTGATTGGAGGTCACCTGTCCTGTTTGTCTGCATTCCGTCTCCGAATGGGTGCCGTAATCATCATCACCACAAATGGAAACCTTTTGCAATGCATCAAGTTTGCATTAACCACGCATATTTGTGGCAAAACATGCAAATAAACACATTCTCTGAGAGTATCGGCGTTGACTGTATTTATTCTTGGTGTTATCCATACTTGTGAGTGTAGTTTATTATTTTACCTCCAGCGTTTTGTATATGAGGTAAAAAAAGAATAGAGCTTTATTGTGACTAAGATTACCTCGTGTTGTTGTAAGGGCTATTGGGTTGCCTAGGCACGCCAGCTCGCCCTCTCAACAACGAGGGAGAAACCGAGCCACTCGCACCTCCGATTAACGTGGTTGGCTACGTACGGTGCGAAAGAAGTGCACCATACATACAGTGCACTATACACTACACCGTACACACTACACCGTACACACTACAGACTACACACTACTATACAGTGAGGGAAAAAAGTATTTGATCCCCTGCTGATTTTGTACGTTTGCCCACTGACAAAGAAATGATCAGTCTATAATTTTAATGGTAGGTTTATTTGAACAGTGAGAGACAGAATACCAACAACAAAATCCAGAAAACGCATGTCAAAAATGTTATAAATTGATTTGCATTTTAATGAGGGAAATACGTATTTGACCCCTCTGCAAAACATGACTTAGTACTTGGTGGCAAAACCCTTGTTGGCAATCACAGAGGTCAGACGTTTCTTGTAGTTGGCCACCAGGTTTGCACACATCTCAGGAGGGATTTTGTCCCACTCCTCTTTGCAGATCTTCTTCAAGTCATTAAGATTTCGAGGCTGACGTTTGGCAACTCGAACCTTCAGCTCCCTCCACAGATTTTCTATGGGATTAAGGTCTGGAGACTGGCTAGGCCACTCCAGGACCTTCATGTGCTTCTTCTTGAGCCACTCCTTTGTTGCCTTGGCCATGTGTTTTGGGTCATCGTCATGCTGGAATACCCATCCACGACCCATTTTCAATGCCCTGGCTGAGGGAAGGAGGATCTCACCCAACATTTGACGGTACATGGCCCCGTCCATCGTCCCTTTGATGCGGTGAAGTTGTCCTGTCCCCTTAGCAGAAAAACACCCCCAAAGCATAATGTTTCCACCTCCATGTTTGACGGTGGGGATGGTGTTCTTGGGGTCATAGGCAGCATTTCTCCTCCTCCAAACACGGCAAGTTGAGTTGATGCCTAAGAGCTCCATTTTGGTCTCATCTGACCACAACACTTTCTCCCAGTTGTCCTCTGAATCATTCAGATGTTCATTGGCAAACTTCAGGCGGGCATGTATATATGCTTTCTTGAGCAGGGGGACCTTGCGGGCGCTGCAGGATTTCACTACTACACACTACTATACACTACACACTACTATACACTACTACACACTACTACACACTATACACTATTATACACTTGTATATATCGGGTCTTAAAAATTTCATAAAAATAAGACAATTAAATGAAGATAAAAAAATGCGTAATTATCCGAATTATGCTAATTAAGGTAATTATGCACATAAATTATGACAATTGTAGAAATGTATGCGAATGTATGTGATTATGCTAATGTGGGTAGTTATGATAATTAGGCTTTTCTGTATTGTCTTGGGTCGTGTTATCAATCGGGACAATACAATTAGTTGTATTAAGTTATCCAAGTGTGATGTAATTATGCTAAATTAAGCTCTAGGGTCGTATTATCAATCGGGCTTTAACATTTACTGATTATATCTTAGTGTGTTTATGTCAGGTCTCCAAATTGAAATCTCAACGCAGGATACAGTTCTTATAAATAAGATTATTACGCATTAACTCAGGAAGGAAACACTCATACACTTGTGTTAAGCAATTTTAATTTCTAAACCAAAACATAACACTCTAATACGCGAACTCTCATGCTTGGAATTATCCACAGTATCACCGGGGAAATTTCCTCACTGATCAGTACATTTAACCATCAATGGTTGCGTTGTTTTACTGGGCAACCGAACAGTTGATTCATTCCAACTCTCTGAGAGAACCACTTCCCCCGCTCCCCCCTCTTTCTTCGCCTTGGTGTTACATTTCCTTGGTTCTTTCGGTAAAGTCACGTAGAAGGGGAAGTAATAAAATAATAAAAATAAAACATAATAAAATAAAATAATTCTCACGACGTTTCGGCCACAACGCAAGCAGCCGTCCTCGGGTGAGGACGGCTGCTTGTGTTGTGGTGCGTTGTGGCCGAAACGTCGAGGACGGCTGCTTGCGTTGTGGCCGAAACGTCGTGAGAATTATTTTATTTTATTATGTTTTATTTTTATTATTTTATTACTTCCCCTCTACGTGACTTTACCGAAAGAACCAAGAAGATGAATCCCTGCA